TCAGATCAGCGCAAACAACCTGCCGCTCAGTTCAGCTAGCAAAATATAGCTTGATGCTTATTTATTAAACATCAACAAACAACAGAACAATTAGGGATAAAAGGCAGGCAAAAGCAGGGAGAGAGAGACACGAATAACAGGAAAGAATTTACATTATCTATACATCTCTACCTCTACCTATCAAAAAGCACAGGACTTTCCAGAGCCACTGGAGATAATACTGTGGGTAATTAGCATGGACAGCCCCAAAGGGAGGGGCCTTTGGTTATTCCAGCTTTAACCCTTGTATGTATGTAGTAGTGATAGAATAGGAGTAGGAAAGTAGGACAGGTGAACTCTCCTCTATTCAGCACCATTAGAGGAATAATTGGTGAGCTGGGATGATGCATTCAACACTCAGAACTGTACAGTCTTACTGCTAGTTTGTTCTGCTACTTGCGCAAATAATCAAGACTGGTATAGTTGGGGAATAATTTAAACTAGCATTTTGCAATTATGGAATGAAGTATCTTAAGGACCAACCCAGAATTGAGGTTAGCTGTTCTGAATGTTTCGAGGAACTTGTACCAGATGATGTAGAAAGAGAGCTCAAAGCCCAAGAGAAATCCTGAGGAGAAACATAGCATCTCTTCTGCCTGGAGCTTACTTCCTTCAGTTTGCTGTCCCAAGCACTTCACTGCCATCTGGCAATTCAGATACTGGCAGAAGCAGAACTTTTAAGATTTGCAGGAGAGGGTCTTTCAAAGATGCCCCCACCCTCAGAGGCCCATCTCTCTGGTTTGTTGGGAAAGGACCGTGGTATTCCTTCCAGGCATTTGAGCTTCACTCACTCAGTATTTTAGAAAATTAGCCACATCTCTTTTGCCAGGCTTTTAATTTTTAAATAATTTCCTAATAAACTATTTTTATAGTAATTTTAACCTGTGCTTTAAAAACTTTTGATAGATTTGTTTTCTTTTGAACAGGTCAGCCATCTTGCATAGTCATCAGAATAAGAAAATAAGGAAAGCCAGGAACAAAAAAATTATTGACTTCTGATTGGGGAATTCTTTACTGAAGATCTCCTCTGTCATTCTCTCTACCACTACGAGGTGAATTTGTTCTGTGTCGCAGAAATGGGTGAAGCCCAAATCCAGGATGGAGTGGAATGATTTTGTGACAGATTTTCATTTCTCTGGAATAGAGCAGATGGTTATAATCTCTTCTGTTAGGGTTCAGAATCCTTGATTCAGCTTCTGGTTTTGGTGCACTGCCCATGACCCCAGCATAGAAAAGGAAAATTGAGGCACTTTGGATTCAGTGACAGAAAGGTCAGTCCTTAAATATGGGTGACCCTTGTGATATATGTTTCATTGCTCCAGTCACAGAATCTTGGGAGAGGTGGAGAGATTGTCTAAGAGTTTAACTATTTCCTTCACCTCACTGTTTCCCATTTGATTTCATTCCTAGATGATATCTGTTTGCTACGTGAATGAAAAGTTGGAGTGCTCAAAAAAAAGTTAAAAGGGCATAGCTCCCAAAAATCTCTAGAAATCTGGTATGCTTCATCCATTAAGTAACCTAGATTTGCTCAGAATGTCATCCCATTCTAATGAAAAGCAAAATAAAAGTAGCACGAATAAACTGTAAAGCATGTAGCTTCAAACTCTCTCTACTGATTTCTAATAAATTTAGCACACTTCTTCCCCTTCAGGTAGGGGAATGTTGCTGCAAATTTGATCTATCAGTGATGATAGAAACTAAAAAATTATCACCGTTTATGGAGTCCCATGCTAAAACACAGAAGGATGGCGCTTCTAATCGGAGCACTAAATTCTATGAAATTGAATGAATTATTTCCTACAGAGGAATGAATTATTATAAGGCTCTAGATCTGGTAAATAAGATTCATTTACTTACTGATTCATTTGTGTTCCATCTGTCTGTGGAGGGCTCAAGGAGGTATGCATGAAGTGTTTCTTAATTTATCCCTGTGAAGATGGGCTGAGTGAATGTGACTGGCTTCCAGTCACCCTGTGAACTTTATGATTAGGTGGGGATTTGAACCTAAATGTCCCAAGTACAATAGCCTAAGCACTACATTATTGTATTATACGTGACATAACTTTAAATGTATCTCCTTTTAAAATATATGATTTTATAGAAACAATTTTGGAAAGAGCATCCCCCCCCCCCCATCCAAACAGGCATGAAACTTCTGAAAAGCAGATTCCATCACTCTGGCTTACAAAGGTTGAGGTTCTCTACTGACTTTTCTGCTTTTGCTTTTTGTGAGCATTTTTTAAAAAATCTTCCTGTGGGCAGTTGCCCAGATGAAGCAAAAGAATCTGTCCCCATGCACAAAGACAGATGTCATAGTCATGAGTCATCAGTAAAACCTAAGCAGGCAGCAAAGGGGATAATGTTACCTAATAAAATGCTTGTCTCCAGGGAAAATTAAAAGTGCTTTGCAAATCTATATACATCCTGTTGTAGGCAAAGGTGGTAGGTAAATGAGGGTAATAACCTGGCTGCAGTAAATCTGACAAGACATCTAAAGAGGCTTCAGTCATCTCTCCAGCCCAAATAGTTAAGCAGCAGGAAAAGCGTTACCAGATTAAATATTTATGCCCTCATTTCTAGCCTCATAGCTTCAAGACTATCTTCAGCAACCTGGTACTTTTGGGGGATCTAAATATGACAAAACAACAGTGGGATATGATTAAAGTTAGAACTTAGTTAGTTAGAAATAAGAGTCGTTGAATGAAGTGGACCTTTGAATAAGCATGCCTTCAACTGCATGCTTAAATTGATAGATGTTTCAGTCCTGCAAATGCCTGAGCTATGAAAAATATGCAGTGCAAATCCTCCATCTTTTCCAACTGAGATTTTCCAATATCAGTGTAATTATATTCCAGGTTTTAAAAGTTGTAACATGGTCCATGGACTAGCACTGATAAAGAATGTGGCCCAGGAGATCTCTTTGTTGGATCAAGAATCCAAATCATTGGTCCATCTAGCTCCTGGCTGGAAGCACCTCTCCCATGTATAGAGAGAGTGGAATTTGCATATGCCCCCTTCCAAATGTACATCCCAAATATAGAACAGAAGTTTGGAAAATATGCTAAATTTCACATATATATGGACAATAAACACAGAAACGTACACATATCCAATATTTGTGTGGGGCCATACAATCTTTGCATAGGATAAAATTAGAATCTCAGCAAAAACTAAAATGTCATCACCCCCTCTCTACTCCAAGATGTCAGGAAAAAAACATTTTCCACTCCTCCTTGGAGCTCCAAGGAACTGAAACTGAGAATTTTTATAAAGTATGAGTCATAGCACTTCCTAAAGAGTTGGAATTCACTGAACACTGTTTGAATAAAGATAAGTTGCAAGACTTTGAACTTGATCACAATATTCAAACTTTCCTGAAGATGATTTGTTTTCTCCTAGGGCACCTCAGTTAATAAGACATTTGAAGTATATCCATAGCCACTTAATAATTCCATAGTACTGATTTGTTTGTCAAATACCGCCCCCCCCCTTTATATTGTCAGTGTCTTCATTTATGGGGGAATAGTAAAAGTGGGAAAGACAACAGGTTCCTCTTGGAAAAAGAAAGGCTCATTTTGGACCACGTTGGACGATAGGCTATCCTTTCCTTGTTAGTAAAATTTAAGTGATTAAGCTACTGCTGCCTATGCACTAATTTAAATGCAAAACAGTTCATGTTACAAACTCCCTTTGTGACCTTGCATTTGAATGGTATATGTAATAAAAATGTTAATTTGCAAATATAATATTGTGGCATTAATTAATTTACAATGAATATTAATCTGAGACCAAATATTTAAGACTTTGATGTATATTAAAGAAAATATATTTCACAATATGTTTGCCCTGCTTAATAAATATTGGCTATCTCCCTCAACATGGTTATTCTCCTTCTTATAAAATGAGCTCTATTGTGAAAGACCAGAGAATAGCATTACCTTTGCTGAATTACTACTGGAACATTCAAACCTTTTTTTTCCCCCCTCCTTATTCTCTTTGTTGGATGAAGGGCATGCAAGCAAGTCAGTCCAGTGCACTTATTTCCTAATGGATCAGATGCAGGTAACCATAAGTTTGCTTTCCAGAGAATCTCTAGAATTGAGATCCTAGCTTGCATAGAATGGTGTAAGTATGCATACGGGAATGGGCTTCTATTGCATTTCTGGCATATTTACTGAAACTGACTGGCACTGCCTTTACTATTAGCAGGGAATGTTGGATGCATCATGGATATGACAGAGATTGGTAGGTATACATGTGCTTTATCTTACTCAAAAATGTTATGTGAAAGCTTTGATTGATCAATGTCACAATGGGTGGAAGACATAAATACCAAAGGGGGAAATATTTGTAACATAACAGAATATATAACATATATTCACATATCTTACTGAACACATATATTTATATAACACACCATATAATATGGCTGGAAAGAGCCAATCTACAGTTTCCAATCTACCCCAGGATTTAATGTAGACAGACAGAGCACTATGGGATTCTGGAAAGATGACTAGGAACTATAAAATAATAATAATAATAATAATAATAATAATAATAATAATAATA